ATATCCTTTATGTTTTTCAAAACCAAACATACTTGCTCATTTTATGTCACCTAAGGTTTTGTTTGGCTAGCTGATAATCATAGTTTAGATTTTAATTTTTTTTGGAAATAACTTACCAAGGTATTTTGAAGGATGTTTTTATATGTTGAATTCAGATAATTGAATAATAAATATAACTTGTTTTATTTGTTATTGGCTAGCAATTAAAATTATTAATTATTTTTAATAGTCAAATCAAGTAAACCCTAAACTTATTAATCTTACATATATTAAAAATAAATTACTTAAATAGTTAATTGTTTTACTGTTTGTATCGTATTAAAATATATAACAAAGGACTATTAGATCAAATGAAGATTTAAGAAGTCTTTCTCATCCAATAATTACAATTTATAATTTAGTATAATTTGAATTACACATCACTTTTTGCTTTTTGCTTAGTGACTCCCAAACATAAAGGTGGATCAAATTGGTTTTACTAATGCAGTACAAGATGAGATTGAATTGGTTTACAATTTTCTCTAACTAATTAAATCAATTTAGTTAGAGTAGATACCCTAAAAACAAACCTTGAATACCAGCACCTACCCCAAAAAGGCGTGAAAGCCTTAGTTGATTGCAAATGGGGACCAAACCAAAAATTGCTAGCTTTGCTCCAGCACGGTAAAGAGTTGAATTGAAAACAGGACAAGCATCTGCTTGGAGCACCGAAATGGCCGCGATGTGATGTGATGCACTAATAGACTGACAGTGCAGCGCTTTAGTTGAAATAACAGAGGGATTCCTTTGCACATGTGACTCCATATTTGATATTTCCTTTTTCTTCGGATACAGACAACCCATACCCCTACTGACTTTCCTGACACTCTCGAAAATTGAGCACTTTGTCATCGGTACAATCCCCAACTATGCATATGCACCCTTGGTTAAAGCCCACTATCGCCCCTGTGCTTTGTAAAAAGGTTCAATCTAAACCTTTTACTATGAAATCGCCTCATGTTCTCCCTCTACTCCTTTTAAGCTCAACATGTCCTCATCTACTATTCAAAAAGGAGGCTAAGTTACTGGATAAAAATAACTGGATTTTGAAGGACCTTGCTCCCACATCCATCTGGTATCTGGAACAAGTTAGCTCTCAACTCATCAGCTACATTCTTATTTTTCTAAACCATTCTTTTATTGGTGCGATCGTAAGTTTGTAACTGTGTATCCTATGTCGACTTGTTTGCTTTTTTTTTTTTAGCTAGAAAAGATGTCCCATTCGGTATTATTTGCCGGTTGTTTGGTGTTTGGAGATTGAGAATTCCTAGAACCTTTCTTTGTTCTTATAGTCGTTGGCGTGGTTGATTACTTTGGGGATGTCTCTTGGAGATGGGGTCACAATTTGCCTTTAGGTTGTGGAAAATAATTCAAAGCATTTTTTATGTTTACATCATGGAGGAAGTTGGCATTTCCAAAGATTAAAACCTTTGATAGCATTCCATTACTAAGACATGGAGATTACCATGATCATAACTACTACTGCAGCTTCCATTTGCAGTTTCTGATCTTACAAAGGAAACAATTTCTCACGAAAGAAATGATCCCCTCTATAGAACATGTAGGAATTATCGCTTAAAAGTGATGTGGCATTAGTAGGGTCCACATGGTCATATTGCAAACAAAAAAGAATATAAAGGTGCGTTAAACGTTTCTTTAACGGTAAAAATGGTGCCGTTAGCAACGAATTAGACGGAGGAACGAAATTGATCACTTTTTAAATAGTAGAGGGAAGACATGTTGAGTTTAAAAAAAAGTAGAGCGAGGACTTGAGGCAATTCCTTAACAGAAGGGTTTGATTGAATGTTTTTGCAAGGTAGAGCGACAACAGCTGGCTTTAACCAGGTGGTACACATTTTAGACTTTTTTTTTTTTTTAATAAATTGTGAAGGTGGATTTAAAACCTGAAGGAGAAAAATGTACCTCAAATTGATAAAGTTGATAAAGTGTTAATTGATTTAAAGGGTTAAGTGTCATTTTAAACTTTTTTAATACCGAAAGCAATTGAGAAAAATATAAATAAAAATGATAATTTTATTTTTTATTTAAAAATATTAATTTTTAATATTTATATTGATTTATTATGTTAATATTATTTAATTAATTATTAAATAAAAAAATTAAAAATTAATTTTTTAAAATAAAAAATAAGAAATTAATATTTTTAAATAAAAAAATAAAAAATTAATATCTTTATTTATATATTTTTTCTAAAATTATTATTTTACAGTTTATAATTTACAATTCAAAATGCATCTAATTACAAATTAGAGTTTAAAAGACGATTCAATATATAAAAACTCACCTTCTATACAATAAATATCGCATGTCATATATATGAAATTAGAATTAGGATCATACTTGTAGGAACAAGTCCCCGATCAATAATCTCAACGATCTCAATATAAGTTGAATCAATTTTTCAAATTTAATTATTTGTACCAAATTAAATTTAAGTTCGGTTCATCAGAAATTTGGTTCTTATTAATTACTTAAAAATTATTCCTCCCCCATAATTTCTCATATTCAAAAAAAAAAAAAAATCTCAATATAGGTCACTAAGATCGGCAATGTCTTAGACCATATATAATTAAGGTCAAATGACCAATAGCCAAAGTCGAATAAGATCATACGTAGCCAATCTATATTTTAGAGATATTTTGCAATTATTTTAACAAAAAAATCATATGAATATCTTTTTAACACTTATAAATACCTTGAAAGTCTCTTGTTAGAGGTGGATACTTAAGACTCACCTCCTATTTTCTCTGAATAAAATAAAATATTATTAATTTAAATATCGAAATGCCTATATAAAGCAGCAATCTCGGGCTTTACACGTAAATTGTCTCGAGGGACTAAAGCTACAGGAAGATTGAAGATTTTAGTGCTTTTACAGTATACTCTGCTGATTAACCTGTCTATAAAAAGGCACCCATGTGCAACTAGTCGTGAAGTGGCGGAGTGACATTTTTCTTTTCTTCTGTGTCTCTTTTCTCTGATCTTGAGTTTTCAGCAATGGTGGCAATTCTAAGATCTCTGCTTCTCATTCTTCTACTCACCCATGTTGCAGGTACTTTCTTCTTCCTCCTTCTTCCTAGCAAGATATGTCAATTAGATCCAGTGGCATCCAAACTCAAGAACACTACCCATCTGTGTTCCTTGATTCCTTTCCCATCGCATATGCTTTTCAAGTTTTCAGTTTTCACAATGTGAAGCTTTCTACTGAAGAAAAATCTTAGATTTTTCATGCTTTTCTTCCAAAAACAGGGGATGTCTGTTTTCTAAGTTGAAAACTACCTGTTTTCTGAATGAAAGTTTGCATCTTTTTCACAGATGAAGTGTCAGCGACGACAGTGACATTCTTCAACAAATGCTCTCATCCAGTGTGGCCCGGCATTCAGCCCAGCGCCGCCAAGCCAGTTCTTGCTCGGGGCGGCTTCGGGCTCCCACCTAATAAGGCCTACTCCTTAAACCTCCCTCCACTCTGGTCCGGCCGTTTCTGGGGTCGCCACGGCTGCTCCTTTGACAAATCTGGCCGCGGCCGCTGCGCTACTGGGGACTGCGGGGGCTCCCTCTTCTGCAACGGCCTGGGCGGCACCCCTCCCGCAACTCTCGCCGAAATTACCCTCGGCCAAGACCAAGATTTCTACGACGTCTCCCTAGTTGACGGCTACAACATTGCCATGTCCATAACTCCCCTACACGGTACCGGCAAATGCAGCTACGCCGGGTGCGTGAGTGACCTCAACATGATGTGCCCAGTGGGGTTACAGGTCCGGTCGAGGGACAACAAGAGAGTGGTGGCTTGCAAGAGTGCCTGCTCTGCTTTCAATTCGCCTAGGTATTGCTGTACGGGAAGCTTTGGGAGTCCGCAGTCGTGCAAGCCGACGGCGTATTCCAAGATATTCAAGGCGGCGTGCCCCAAGGCATACTCTTATGCGTACGATGATCCCACCAGCATCGCCACTTGCACCCGCGGCAGCTACGTTGTTACTTTCTGCCCTCACCATCGTTAATTAGATCTATATTTTAATTAATTAATTAAGCTTAGTGGTACAATTAATCTACACAGAATAGAGACGGCAAATTTATATAGTGTTGTGTAACTTGTCTGCTTGCTATGTGCTCTATTGATATGGTTAACTTTTTATTTTGATGCTTAATTATATTTTTAAGTTTTGTTCATAACATGGGCATGTTTAGCAGACGTTATTTGCAGAGTTATTTTTAATTTTTTTAAGCTATTTGTTATCTCATCAATTTAAAAAGAGTGTCAAGTTTCACGCAACTTTAAATTAATTGGATTTGGAATTGTGGTTTTATTATTATTTTAAAAAAGTAATCCTTCTAAGTGGGTTCCCTCCTTCGATTGTAGGGTAATTGTTGGTATTTGTCTCAAATTGTTTATTTATTTGTGTGCAAGATGAATGGTATATATAAAATTTTATATAATTTTAAATTGATTGATTTTAAAATTATAGTGTTTTATTTTTGTATCATTTTATTACTGTAAAAAAAAAAAAAAAGGTGCCATGTTTTGAAAACAAAACAAAAATTACTGCATGGAGATAATATCCAGGGATTCGCCTCTATTTAGTTGCTTAAGTTATGCAATTGATGTGGTTGAAATTATATAATTTTTTTTATTTAAAAAAATTGGTGGAGAATTTGAATTTTATTTTTATTTTATTAATTTTATGGAATTTGATAATTATATTAAATTTTAATTAATTTAAAATTGAGTCATGTTAATTTTATAAAGAGAAAAAATCTTATTTAAGAAGAACTAAATTGTTTTTACGTGAATCAACATGTAGATAGATTTTTTAATAAAATTTTAAATTCGTAAAAAAGATAAATTTTTTAAAAGTAATTTCGCTAATAATCTCCGCCAAACATGCTGATAGTTTCTGTCTTGATGCGTACCTGGGACACGTAACTTTTGCTCATATGTCAGATTTAGCTGAAACAAGTGGAAGAGTTCCTTCAATAAATATAGGTTTTCAAACCACCTTCGTTTAGATAGTTTCTTCTGTTGTAGTCTTGCCACATAAAGAATTGTTATAACCATATAAAATATTATAACTGTATTTAATTTGTTCAATTTTTTTAATTTATAATCATTAAAGTACTTAAAAACATTAATTTATATAAATTCATTTTAAGTTATTTAATAAATATATTAATTATTTTATTTATTATCAATTAATAATTATAATTGTTACATACTCTTAATAGTTCAATTAAATATATTTATATTGTTTTGTGTGGCCATGACCGTGGGAGGTTGAAGACTCTGTTTCTGCTGGACTTAAGAAGTTGTAGTTATATTTTGTTTCTCGTCCTCTGTTACCATGTTCCGAGGTTGGTTTTCCCTGGTAGTACTTTGTAAGCACTTTATCCTTCGGATTTCAATTAAAGTGGTTTGTGGATTTCAATTAAAGTGGTTTGTGAATCGATTTTTAGATCTAATGATTCGATTTCAAACCTTAAATGATTGAGTGAAATGATTGAAATTTTAAACTTTATCACTATTGTGAAGTCTATCAAATGCGATTCAATGTCCGCGTACTTCATTTAAGGGGTGAAATATTTACTTAATTTTGGAAATCAAATCTCGAATATGTAGTTACTAATAATTAATTTAAATTAATTTTTTAATCATTACTTTTGTAAAAAAAAATATTAAAGTGTTTTGTTGGCCCAAAAAAGGAAAAAGGAAAGATTAAAGAAAGATGAGAGTTCCCATGGCAAATAGGAAATCACGTACTGCTATGAGCTGTAAAGTGTACTAGTAGTTGTGGACAGCTAATTTTTGCCTCAATCGAGCAGTTACTTAATAAATTGTTTACCATTTTCTGTGTTTATTTGTGGCAAAAAGTTACATCTAGTCTTCCACAAATAATAGAGGGAGAGCCACTCAATGGTGTTTACTGCTTTTTAACGTTCTTCTCCCCCGTTGTCTGCTGTTGTCTACCATCGATGAAAAATAGTTGTTGGAATATGTGAGGAAATTAACGTTTTTTTTTTTTTTTTTTTTACAGCTGACTGATGTTAGGTTCTCTTTCAGTAGAGGTAAATGGAAGCCACTAGGAAAAAGTCTCTTACCATCCCCACCAGACCTGGCAAAAATTCACCCGACCCGTCAACCCGACCCTAACCCGACCCTTAAAGAACGGGTTAGGGTTTACATATCTCAACCCGCAACCCGTAGATAACCCGTATTATCAACCCGTACAGGTCACGGGTCGGGTTAGGGTCAACCCGCGGGTTGACGAGTTGACTCGTTTGTTTTATTTATTATTATTATTTTTAAATATTATACTTATCATTCTTAATTAATTTTCCTATTGATAACTCATTCTATTAATTCATACTCCCTAATTTCTAGAGAAAGAAGAAGAAATTATGATAAGTTTGATCTAATTACCCAAGTATTATTATTATTATTATTTTTTTTGGTATTAACAATTACCCAAGTATCATGAATGAAATGATAATGCAACTAAAAATATTAAAAGATGTGATGTTAGGATATAAACATAATAATTTAGTGAAAGATGTTCTTGGAAGAGTAATTTCATCATTAAAAAATGGATTAAACTATTTAATAATGTTTTAAGATGATTATAAAATTAAAA